CCTACTAAAAATTGAAGATCAAATGAAATCTGAAGGACCAAACGACACATTTTTTTTTGTTTGAGAGGCCTCTGAGACTTCAGTTGCCTGCCATGGGGCTCCAAACTTGGTTGATTTTACACTATTTTCAATGGAGCTTGAATTGGTTCAGTGCACCCTGATTTCTTTCGTATAATTGGTGAAATGAAGTCACGAGAGGGCGCAAACGCGCGCAGGTCACGTCTGTACTGTTAGCTGCCGTCTTGGCCCAAGACTATTTTGGCCCCACAAGTTTCGACCACGTCGTTCGTCATCAGCGGACTTCACATTCACGGTACATGTAAGTTTGTTTATCCACCTTGCTTTATGGTTTATCACGATTTATGGTTTATCATTGACCACAGTTTGCCCAAAAATGCACTCACATCATAATTAGGCTGGAAAGAGTTTCATACGGACGCCACTTGCCGCTCTACCCCCAGAACTGTGGGGTCCGTCGGAGCGGAGCATGGTCGGAGGAGCGGACGTCGGACCCCACACTGGGACCAACTTGTCATCCCGTGCATAAACCCAAGTAATAATACTTAATAGTATGAGACTGGTCTGAAAACTCTGAGTGTTTTAAGTAAACAACTTTTTCGTGTTCGTATTTTCCCTCCTAAATTGAACTTTTCTGGGCATGTTTTTACTTTCTTACGGCTAATAAAAAAGTATTCACTGTAGCACTGCAGTGTAGGGAATAATTACGCTAGTACTGGGGTATGGGGCAGCGCGTACATCCGGGATTTTCACAAAAAAATACTGGTAGCAACCACACCGCGCCGGTGAAAACAACTGCAACGAGCGCACACGTACGTACGTACAGATCAAAGAAAAGATTTCATAATAACCCAATCCTCGAACTGGCTGGTGTGTGCGTGCTGTTTTCACCGGCGCAGTGCCTGTCATTTTGCAAGAATCTTGGATGTCCGCGCTGCCCCATATGGAACCCTTCCCGTTTCTTTTCAGTGACCGACAACTGTAGCCCATGCCCCGAAACTGGAAAAGGTTGCCGGTCACTAAAAAGTAGTACTTTACATGTACACGTACTGTTGTCTGTACTGGACATATGATGTATATAGGAAACCTGGCGCGGCCCCTAAACGTTTTGCCAAGCCTACTTGTACATATATACATGTGTATCTCAGATTTCCAACAGGTGAATTTCATCAAGCTCTGAATATATCCCCTTTCACAAATCTTGAATTCATTCACCCTCTGCAAAAATGACAAAGTTCCAATGAAATTTTATTTTGGCTTGATTTTCTGATTTTTTTTTTCAAAGTATAAAATGAACTAAAATACGCCCAAAAATAAGAACAGATTTTCTTTAAAGTTTGGTATACAGGTATGTGTAGAGGTAATGAAATTCACCAAAATTTCTTGAATGTCAATGTGAGATATTTGGAGATATGTTCAAGTGTGCCACATCAGGGAACATTCAGCTGAATTTGTTCCAATTTCTAGGCATCACCGTTTCTGAAACTCAGACTAAATTCATGACACCGAAATTGTTCACCAAAGTTTTGACAGTATGTATTATGAAGGTAATTAAATAGCACCAGTGCTTAACCAATAATTTGAAGTTTTTAACTCAACAAAGAGGTTTGGCAGCATTGCATAAGCAAAATTGAAATTCACCTTGAATGAGACAACCTTAAGAAAAACAGCCTCGTATAAAAGGGATTTCATAAACTCTGCAGACAGTGTTTGTGGAGTATGGATTGATGTACATGTAAACATCATTAACCTCCAGTATCCTTCCAAGACTTAAAGAGCCAGGGGCAGATCCAGGATATTCCCAAAGGGGGGTGGGGGCGAATGATCTCTTATTTTCCAAAAGGAAGGCATCAAAGAAAGCAGAAATGGTGAAATGCTCGTGAGTGCATATCACGAAGACCCTACAGCAGTAGCTTTGCTTAGTGGAATGTGGTATTCCTCTTTTTCGAATTTTGTACCGGGTGGGAATACTAATGCTCTACTCAGGAGAGCTAGTATGACATAGGGTCCAGGTCATTTCTGGATTCTAGGCCCTCTGGGGTGTAATTTCAGGCAGTGTGACCCCTCTTTTTTCTTTTCCCTCCCTTTTCTTTTTTTATTTATTTATTATTTTTTTGTGGAAAAAATCAAGGCATGCACCCCCAGCCCCCTGGATCCGCCCTTAAGAGAGCATTTACACAAATTTATGGATGGTGAAAGAAACATGTGCAACACTAATTCAAATTCTAAATAGAATTTCAAAAAAAAAATCTCATTTTCTTTTCTAAAAAGATTTGATATAAGAAAATGTTTAAATTTTAAATAGAATATGAGCCCAATTTCCAGACACCACCACTTCCTTAATTTCCAACAAAATTTCATGATGCTGAGAATTTTTCACAAAGGTTCAACAGCAAGTACATGTATTATAAAGATAATATTTAATACCAGTATTTAGCTGAATGAATTTGAAGTTTTTCAACTAAGAGATTTGGCAACAATATATGAGGATAGTTCAAGGGAAATGTTGAAGTGAGCCATGTCAGGGAACTCAAATTTGGTTACTGGGTGTTCTGAGGTTTTTATTCCAAGCTCTTACTCAGTGCAAACAGTTGAGGGAAATGGTGGCACACACAAATCACAGTTGTGCACATTAATACGGAAATTTACATTAGAGTAAAAAAAAAAAAGAACAAGACACCAAAAGACAGGTACTCATTCAAATGCCACATTATCGAATTATGGATGGGACTCAGAGATCCATTTTCAAGGACTACAACTGTACATGAAAAAAATTCTACATGGGCCCATGAAGTTGTGGCTCACTCACATGTTATGTGCTATGTTTTTGACTGATAATTTGATGAATTTACTTGATCAGTGCAGGACAGAATGGCTGGCATGGATGGAAACTAAGGCAGGAGATTGGCCATTTAACGTCAAGCAACAGGTGATGTAGGCAGTCAAATTGATTGATTTGCCCCTGTTCGTCACAAATGACGTGTTCTGACATGGGTAAGACTGGCAGCAAGCGGACTTTAACTTAGATGGCCCAGCCTGACCCAGTAAATCATATTTTGTGTACATGTACATGTTGGCAGTTGACAGGCTCAATGTAACAGTTACAAGATCGTTTTCAGACAAAAGTATGCATTTTGTTCAGTGTCACTTAGTTATTTTGATTCAAGTTAAACTTTCATTTTGAATTTCATTTTACCTCATCAAATGATATCAGTATATGTGATGTGATCTGCAAAACCCTTCAAATGGACGTGAGTTCTGCCATTTTTGGTGTATTTCAACTTCAAATTGATCTGGACACTGTCCTGTTTTCAAAACTGTTTAATTTGTGATTCTAGGCAACCTAGATTAATGTTGTAGATAATATAGAATCATAAATGGAATGCATCTGAAAACAAGAGCGTGTCCATATTAATTGGAAGTTTATATGACAAAGCTCACCATGTGAAGGGTTTTCACATCACATTTGTTGTGAAAGCCGTCCACTGTGTAGTACATTTTATTTAAAATGAAGGTTTTTTGTTAGGAAGACTGTAGTGATTGCAATACATGTATGTACCAGGAAGCCATATTGTTTGTAAAGCCAGAACTCGTTGATGTTGTGCACATGATGTCTGATTCATTGGTACTTGATTGACGTACCATGAAGGCCATCTGACAAATGGGGGCCAGGGAAATGTTGATGTGCTGTATACATCAACCTGTTCGGCTTTGCCCACCTCTCTGCGTCTTGTTTCCATTGCAGGGGAGTTGGACAGCAAAACTCTCTACAGACTATCGGCGCAGCTTCATGCTCGCGAATGGAGGGGACTAGCCACAATGCTTGGCTTCAGCTGTGCGGAAGTCTCCCACTTTGAGGCAAGCCACCCCCATCAAGTGGTTAATCAAATCTACAGCATGCTGGATGCCTGGAAAAACAGACAGCGTGACGATGTGAACCAGACTGAAGCTCTCTGCCGGGCACTGACGGAGATCGGGAATGCCCGACTCGCTCATAAACTGCAGGGAGGATCCATGTAACGGTAGAAGTAAACAGCAGTTGTTGTTCGCTGCTTCAAGAAGTACCTATTTGAAGACGCTACTGTGCAGAGTATGTCTTTTTTACCAACAAGGATTTCCATCAGTAGCCACAGGTATCTTCTACAGACCATTACTGCAATAGCACTTACATGCTCGTGCACATTCATTTTGGCCAGTCATAATTACTGTCTTGGTACGAGAAGCCATGTGTGCAGTGAAGGGGTAGGGGTGGTTGCTGACATTGCGTACCCCTGGGCACTGGGAGTAGGGGTCCGAGGCAATACGTGAATACACTGAGGAATAGCATTGCTTTCCATAAATTGATATGGAATCAATGCACTGTCTCATATTTTTACCTGCAGGCCTACGTGTAGGGACCAGCTTTGTGAATTGAAAATTCATTAGAAAGCATTCCATTTCAGCCTACATGCCCGGAATTCATGTAAAAAGACATGGACTCCCTTAAGCAGCCTGCAAGGTCATCGAAGCCACCGGCAGCCATCTTACTGTGCCGAATACAAAAGGTCATACAGTAGCTTGCTCGCCACCGTTGATCAAATTTCTTCCTGGTTTCGATTGTCACAATAGCAAGCAAGCCAACCATTGCCTTTGTATTTGATCGGTGCATCGGCACAGTAAAATAGCCACTGGGGGCTTCATTCAGTTCAAAGGCGTCCATGCCTCCATGTGGATCTTACCATTACCAGCGCCGGCAGTCTGATACGTCAAAGGGCAGTGTGCTTGTGGGGGGTTTGGACCACCACATAAGCCATGCATACAAAGGGGGAGAAGATATCAAAAACATCAATGTTTTGTGAAGACATGTGTCTGAATGGACAGCCTTTGAATGATGTACGCACAAGCTGCGTGGGAGTGTGAAAATCCCTGCAGTATGATTGGCCTCAAAAGTCTGGTCCCCAGACTACCCTGCATTGTAGATATTTGTTCTAGATATTTTTGTTCACTATCGTTTCTGGATTCATGTTTTCTTGATAACTGTCATGTATATTATGCAAGGCACTAGAATTGTTGAGAAATTTAAAGGAATTTATATAAGAGCTTATGATGAACTGCCTAAAGGCTGGCTCATACAACAGGCAAATGCAGTGGGTGAAGTGAATTTAATTTTACCTCATACAAAAATTGGCAGCGGAAGTTTCAACTTTTGCAAATTTGCATTGGCAATATTTCAGATGATGTTGAAAATTCACGTTCATGTTTGTTTTTGCACGAAGTGCGAACCAGTGGGTTCATGCTTGCGGCAAACTCAAAGGCTGTTTTTCTGGTGAGAAGGCTGTTTTACTGGTGCATAAGTATTTACTGTGTTGTTACATTAGCTGAAACTACTGGTCTTGTTTGTTTTATGTACTGGCACAGTCTAAATGGCCTAGGGAATATTTATCTTGGTCCAAAAAATTTTATACTATCAATGTGTGTGGTCACTGCCCGAGTAGTTGAAGAATAGTTGATACTGACCGTTTTTTGCTTCCACCACATGCACAAGTTACAAAATAAATTGTAGCTGACATGTCAGTTGGGAGACATTTCAAGTCTTTTGGGGGTTTCCAATCCCAAGCAAGTTTTCCTGATTGGTTTGATTTGACCGGAGACAAATCCTGATGGCCCCCTTGAGTGGTGATATGCATTGTGTCGGGTTTTGTATGGAGCGAGTGTCGCAGATCAATGGCAACGTACATATACAATAGCTGCCACGGTGCCAGCCGCCATTAAAAGGGTCCCCTGTGATGGCGGTACCTTGGTCACCGGAATTGTCCTTAGGCCTCGGGTATTACGAAAAGCATTTAATCTTGAGCTGTTCTATGACTGTCATTGAAGACAAAGTGCTAGCCAAAGACACAAGTGTGTCTGTATGTATTATTGGAAAGCTGCAATGTTTTCAAATTATTCAGGGTTATTCGTCATTTGAAAGTAACACCGACGGGTGAAATAGTTCCGGGTAAGGAAGTTGACTGATTCCTATGGTTACATTTATGATTTACACGTACCTGTTTGTAATAACTTTCTGAAGGGATTCAGGCAATCAACGCAACAGATTTCAGATTTTGTTTAAACACACAGGATGTCCATTGTTTGTGTCATATTGTAGTTGTCAATAAAGTATGAGGCTATTCAGTGCCGGAATGCCCATTAAAAAATAGTTCCGTTGGTGGCAAGCTCAGATGGCCTTGATGAGTATACAATTTAAATGTGATTTTCAGACTTAGTTTGGCACTGCACCCAGCCTTCTTGTGTTTTGTAAGTGCAATCCAGGTGCTACATGACATAAATTAAAACCAGAAGTTAAAGGTACCTGTCTTTTCTCCACCATGAGTCTTTTTATACCTGAATTCTTCATTTAACTTCATTTCGGTACATCGGATAATTATAAACAAGCCCTAAAGATTACTTTTAACTCACGGTTTGTGTGGAATAAATTGCAACTGATTGAAATAAATCACATACTATTTGCAGCAAACAAATACATGTAGTTTGAAAAAGCCTCCATATGTGTATTGGTTTTTCATTAGGTGTGTCGAGCCTAGCCCTCACCCCATCAATGAAATTAATTGGCCCGTTTCTGTCACTGCCAGTGAATGGGATGGGATGGGATGCTTAAAGAGCAACTCAAAGGAAAACATGTTTTCTCTGATTTTATCTGTTCAAATAAATATGGAAACATCCGAATCGAATGCAGTATCATTTGTCTTCAGAGCTGAACTATAACAAGCTAAAAAGGGCTTTTTTTTCTGTTCATGCCAAGATGCGAATTCAGAACATGCTGAATGTAGATTGCATCATTCTGAGAAAACAAGTGGCACCTTGCCTTGTGTTCGTAGTGGATAAACCAAACCGTGCATGTTGCCATTCTTTGTAGCCATTGTTTGGCATGCACAAGGATTTATCCACTCTGAACACAGGGAGAGGGTTCCCCACGTTTTCTCTGTTTTCTCAGAATGACTCAATCTACTCTTGTAGAGTTAGGGTAAAAAATAGATTGTGTATAATCATATAATATTTTAAAAGAATTAAATTTTAATTTAGTCTGAAGTGAAAGCTTAACTATAGCCTCTGCCACACCTGACGGAAATTGGCATAGTGATTGCGTGTAATTCTGTAGGTTGCCTTTTTTTTAATAGTGAAATAATCTTTTTCAATGATATTCAATGACACAGATACACTGCCTAGGCCGTTTTCCAATACTCGACTTGGGCTCCGTCTCGCCGGGCTTCAATTTTTTTTTTCTTCCTGACTTCAAAGTTGTAAGCGCAATAGTAAGTCTGATAGTGCTACAAAAGATCAAGTAAGATGCAAAAAAGCCAAACATTACATTATTTCAATTTAAGTTAAACGCTTCGGCCCACAATCGGGGATTGGTTTCCTGAGACGGAGACGAAGTTGAGTATTGGAAAACGGCCCAAGACTTGATATGACTCGATTGGCCATCGTAGACTGGCGCGGCCGGCCGGGCCGCACGCACGTGGCCGTTCACACTGCAGATAGTGCCCAGCAGGTATACAAAAAACCCCGGCAGGCAAAACTACATGTATGTGCAAAACACCACTCGTGAGGGCGCTAAATATTGTACTTGGTACATTGGTACCAGCTTATTTCCGGTAGACTTCTTACAACAAGTACAGTCTTGTTCCCCAATAGTAGGTATGTTGCCTGCGTAACGACATGAACAATTGCTGGGTGTCACTGACCTGGTTGAATTGAGCAATGCACCCGTACGTCCGTCCGTACATGTGCTCTGTCTGTTTTCCGTACTAACTTCTGGCCTCTCGCTCTGATTTCCAAAAAAAATAATGACGAAGGGTCCTGGACGTCTAAAGAGTGGCGCGACAAAAAAGACCAAGCGATGGAAGAAGGGCCAGAGTTGTGTCAGCAATCCAACGGTGACAACTCACCGACAAGCAGCCACCGCTAATCGGTTTTTGCCGAGCCACGCGAATGGACGTCCGCGTCCTGGCGCGCCGTCGGCCGGCAGAATAGAGGGTCAGTCGAAAGTTTAAATTGTTAGATATGAGAAAGAGTTCCCATCCAGTCATTGCCGGTCACCACGATTAGCAAAGGCATGAAAGGCAACAAGTGTAAAACATAAGACATGATGAATATAGAGAAAAAGATGATCGATGACTCGTGTTGTCGTGTTACTGGTACTGTGGTAGCGACGTTTGGTAGCAACACGACATCTTGAGTCATCGATCATCTTTTTATCTATATTCGTCATCTACCGCGGTGATTATGTTTATCTCTTCTATTGATAAGACATGATTACATGTGTTAGTGGGCCTATGCATGTTCTTGTTGCTTGTCATGATTGTAGACATGGAATTTTGTTTCGAAGTAGCTGTCGTTATGACAGCCGTAACGCATCTCCCATTTTCGATTGTTACGACACTGAACTATACAAGTGAAATGACGTAGCCGATAATCACAACGGTTTATGTATTTTAAAATAACCTGGATCGCTGAACACTTGTGGCCGAGTGGTCAAGGTGGAAGGTTTGGAACCACTGGTGTGTGAGTTCGAATTTACACTTGGACCAGTTAATTTTTTTTCGCCTAAATTTCATGTTTTATACCATAATTGTTTTTTTTATGTTAGTTTCTAATTGTATAGGCCTAAGCAGGAACTTTTTTCTTTTTCCATCGGAGGCTTGGGAGGAATTTTTTAAAAGGGAAATAAAGTCCGAAATCTGCACTTAAGTTGGTGCACTTGCGCAGTTGCAGTGCCTTAACGATAGAAAATGGGAGATGCATTACGGCTGCTGTAACAACAGCCATGGCGATTTTGTTTAGGCCTAGGCCTATGTACATGTACAGCACTTACATGACTTAGACATGTTAGAACTGGTAGTCAGTACTCTTCACCATGTCCATGTGACCATGGTCGCCTGCAGCTGCTGTTGCCCACCTTTTATGGATTCGTAACGCTGTCTGTGGGTTTTTGAACCAGTTATGTCCAACCAGCATGACCAGGGTACATTTCTGTGTTACAAAAACTTCCTCTTTCTCAATCAAATCTTCCACCAAAAGTCATTGAAACTAATGCATTATCTCTTTAAACCTTTAAACCATGTGACTATTTCTTGAAGAAAATTGGAGCTTTTGGTCAACACCTTCTCATCAGCTCATGATTGAGCAAGTGAAAGTGGAACACAGAAATGGACCCCAAATTGACGTAACCAGTTTAACAAGTCCTTTCACAATGCCAGTCAAGAGTCCCTTCACAAGTTCAGTCACAAGTCCCTTGACAAGGCCAGCCATAAGTCCCTTCACAAGTCCAGTCATAAGTCCTTTCACAAGTCCAGTCACAAGTCCCTTCACAAGGCCAGTCACAAGTCCCTTCACAAGTCTCTTCACAAAGCCAGTCATAGTGATTGGACTTGTGATGGACGTACAGGGACTTGTGATAGACTTACATGTACAGGGACATGTGATGGACTCAAATATAACACTGTTATTTAATGTCCAGTTCCATGATGCAACGAGAATGCCAGAAAGGATTCATATTGGCTGTTTTTTTCAGGTGGTGTTCCATTGACTGAAAAAGCTTTGGCGCATCACAATGAGGAATCCAGGGATTTTGGTATCAGCGACGACATCAAATCTGCAGGAGGAGAGACCTACAAGACATTCCTGAGTGGTGTCAGTGACTGCTCCAATCCTGCCTTTGACAAAGTCAAGCGATACTGGGAGTCAAATGCAGCCTCCCACAGAGAGGTAAGCCTTTTCTTTAGACATAGGCTTGGGGCTCTGACTATTTGTTTGGGCTACATGTAGCTTAGGTGTACATCATGCTTATTCATTTCCATAGGTAGGTTTCAAACCCACCTGTTGATCATGGTGTCACAGCACAAATATACATAACCATGATAACTGAATCAAACCTTCATGACAGCTTTTGAGACCTTAAATGTTTTCCCTTTTTAATTTGAAGTAGAGTGTATGTTTTACAATTAGTTCACAAACTGTGTTAACTTGGGATTCAACCTGTGTTAGTGTTATTGTGTGTTATCATTATTATTAATAATTTCTGATAATGACACCAAGGATTCCTCAAAAGCACCCCAGGTGCTGTAGCTCATAAAGGTGAAGAAATCTGTAGAGGGAGACAGTGAGAAGCAGTTACAGTTTTAGAGGTGGGAGGAAAACCCTAGAGGCATATTCTTGGTAAAACCCACGCAATCAGGTAGGGACTGAAAACCCAGTCCACATATGGACCGAACTGGGATTCGAGCCGGGACCGCAGAGGCAAAAGGCGAGGAAAGAACCACCACGCCAACCTGACTCCCTAATACAGGCAAACACTCTGGAGGTTCTGAAACAGTATCGGTCACTTCACACTTCGCCAGTTCTTGCTTTTCTGTAGTTAGGTTGTCTTGTTTATTTAGCACATGTATGTAGATGCGTAAAAACAGTGCCTCCTTATGCATACATACATGTGTATAAGTTGACCCTGCATTTGAGTACAAAAGGACATCATTTGGCAAATTTGAGTGAGATGGCTACGATTTAACTTCAGTTCGACCGAAGTCACCAAATGTTGGATAATTTGGACTATCCAGTCAACCGCAGGGTACCGGGCCCTAGGGTATGGTCTCACCATTGGCTATCAGCAGCCAAATCTATTTATCAGTACTGAGGGAACTATTCACATTGAAATACTTGCACGAGATATCGTTTCCCGTGAATGCCGCAAGAGTTGCATACAACAACAACACATGAATGAGAATGAGATCTCGAATGTGCCGAATAACCAAAATTTTCGATCGATTATCAAATATTCGAAGATTATTTTTCGAGTCTGAACATTTGAATGCAAAATTCATGAAAAGGAAGGGAACATGTTCTTTTCTTTTTAAATGAGAAAAATTGCATATGAAGGCTTGTTTCAAGCAGATTCAAATGAAAAGTGACAAATCTTACAATGATTCAAAAAGTAAATTATTCATTAAACAATGTAAAAGGAATAGAAAATTACAACAGGGTAAGAAGTATTGTTCATCTCTTAAATCTTGCTTAATTATGGCTGGAGATACTCCAAGATGTGAGAAGCTTTTACAGTGTATATTGATCATTAAGATGGAAAGCTTGCGGTAAGCACCATGCAATATCTCTTTTTGAGTCTGTGTGGTTCTGATAAGAACCGGAGAGGGTCTCCGGTTCTTATCAGAACC